GGGCAATATGCTGACTCTGTAAACCGCTTAGAGAGGGCTGAAAGCCCTATGAAGCGGTATATAAGTCTAACTGCTATTGCTATTGCTATTCTTTTTCCACACAAATATTTGTCATTCCCCAAAAGAATACAAATAAACACTTCTTCCTGCTGCCTTGGTCGGAATTCTAATGGGACATAGGATATGGATATTACCTATAGCTTGAAAGATTCTGGGAAGCTGCCATGGAGCTAGCTAATGGTTCTTTTTTAATGGAAAGGAGAAACAAGAATGAATTTGTAATTAGTTTTCCAGACTAGCTCCCCTGGAAACTTTGATAAAGAAAGTTTGGATTTAGCCCTTCTATGGATTTTGTATCTGTTCCTCTCACTAATATTACGGCTTTATGTGGAGACTTAGGAGACAGAAGGAACTTTGCTCATTTGCAAAGTGAATAAAGTTGCACAAGTTAGACTGCTTGTAGTAGCATGCACCCTCCAAATTCTCTGTTATTAGGGATCATGTAGGTCGTGTTTGGGTGATGTGTATTTAAGGGTTAAGTGACTTAAGTGTCTAAGATGCTGAGCTTCTAGATCAGAAAGGTTGGCATTTCAGCGGCTTGAATCCCTAGTGCCATGTAACGGAGTGAGCTCCCATTACTTGTCCCAGCTTCTGCCAACCTAGCAATTCAAAAGCATGAAAAAAATGCAAGTAGAAAAATAGAGACCACTTTGGTGGGAAGGTAACACAGTTCCGTGTGCCATCAGTATTTAGTTATGCAGTCCACATGACCATGGAGATGTCTTCGGACAGCACTGGGTCTTTGGCTTTGAAACGGAGACGAGCACTGCCCCTAGCGTCAGGAACAACCAGCACATATGTATGAGGGAAACCTTTACCTTTACCTTAAAAACTGCAGGGTATTTTTGTGGGTCTCAATTTGCGTTATAATTTCAGAAATGAAAGGGGAAAGAATTATTTCTCATTTCCAGTTTTTCTATTTTTCTTGAAAGCATTATAGTTAGTAGAAGTGGGAGATCACATCTCTGTGTCAGCCTGGTATGTAACATATTAAGATTTCGCAGCATGAAAATGAGAAAACAGAACACTCTAGCATGCATTAAGGAAGGGCCTTCAAAGTGAGTGGACTGCGGGGATCCAATTGGTCTACAATTGGATGACATCCTTTTGTCTGATTGGGAGATTCTGGACCTCTGTGAACTGTTTGCAATGACTGCCAGAGAGAGACTGGATTTTTCATTGACCAGCTTGTTTTTTTGGGGGGGGGTGGGAGTGTTATATATGCTATACCCATTTTGTGGAATATTGACGACAAATTGAATGGCTTCTATCAAGCCTTAGCAGTGGGTTGGACTAGAAGACCTCCAACAACTCTGTTTTTCTGTTAAGCTAATCAAAAAATTGCAAAATGATGAATGCAGCTTTGTTGTAAAAGGGGATGTAGTTCTTTTAACAGGAATAGGTAAATTGAGGGAAGGAAATGAAGAGGAACAGAGAAGACACCAGAGCAGTGATGGCTAACCTTTTTGTTGTTGGGTGCCAAAAATGCAAGCGTGTGGGCTCGTGATAGTATGCGCACATGCTGGCAACCCATAATGCAAAGCAACAATCCCCCTCCCATGCACGTTGCACTACTTGCCTCCAAGCTGAGCTTGGTATTTCCTCTGGGGGGAAGCTGTTTTTACCCTCCCCAGGTTCCAGGAAAGCCTCTGGAGCCTAGGGAGGGCAAAAAACGGGCACAACAGGCTTACTGGAAGTTCAGAAATGATCTGTTTCTAGCTTCCGGGGGGCCAGAGGAGGCTGTTTTCACCCTCCTCAGGCTCTGGAGGCTTTCCTGAAGCCTTGAGAGGGTGAAAACGGCCTGCCTGGAAGCCAGAAACAAATCATTTCTGAACTTCTGGTAGCCTGTTGGGCCCATTTTTCACTCTCCCTGGGTTCTGGTGGCTTTCCTGAAGCCTGGGAAGGGTAAAAACAGCCTTCCCCAGGCCCCCGGAGGCCCCCGGAGCCTCCAGAAGGCCGAAAATCAGCTGGCCGATGCATGCTGAAGCTGATGGCTCGCATGCCAGCAGACATGGCTCCTCATGCCACCTTTGCCAAAGGTTTGCCATCACGGCACTAGAGTTACCAACAGACAACTTTCTCTCCCAATGCAGTATTGAATTAAAGGGAAGAAAGAAGGACCTTGGTGGAGTCTTGGCACATGTTGCTTGTAGCAGGAGAGGACAATGCCTATTGCTTTATCCGGGCAGAAGGTGGGCTGGGAAACAGCAACAAGAAAAATCCTTTTTTGCTTTGATACCCAAGAAAACTGAAAGCTCCATGCACCCTGCTGTGTTATTTTTTTTATTCAGGCAGCAATACTACCTAATTCTTGAAATGTGGTTGGTTGCAGGGGGCAGCAATTTTTAAGGAACACACCTTCCATCTGAAGAAGAGGAAAGCAGATCAATATAGCTGCTTTAAGTACAGTAAATGTCACAAAAGAAAGCCAATGTGTTGGAAATTCATGATGCTTTTAGTGCAAAATAATAATAATACTGCAATTAACTGATTTTTCTCCTTAAAAATCTTATCTAAAGTTTTGGTTTAAAAAATGTCTAAGGTGCTAGATTGGTAGCAGATAATGCTGCATGATTTTATGCTGTTAATTGGGAGCAAATTTTTTGTTTAATGTAAACTATGCTATAAAGAGTGTTAAAAGATGAAATAAAACCATTCTATTCTGCTGTCTTTCAGTGCCAATTATAATCCCAGTGCCAACAAGGACATTATATCTGCTTTAGATTATCAGGGTCAAAAACGCAAACTGTATAGTGCTGTACCTGGAAGACTATTTATTGTTGTGAAGCCATATCAACCTCAAGGAGAAGGGGAAATTCATTTGCACAAAGGCGACAGAGTAAAAGGTCAGTTTCTTTTCTTTTCAAAAATTTGTGGATAATCATGTATAATTTTTTGAAGCAGGCCACTGAATATAAAAGTCCAATCCCCATATAAAAATATTTCATATATCTGAATTTTTAGCTTATGGTTATTAAGTAAATGGGCAGATATTAATGTTGAAATTGATTTTATCCTGAGAGTGATCACTCCTCTCTTATCACAAATTTATACATGGAACATTTTGAAACTAACACCTTAGATAAATCTGAACACAAACACAAACTCTGTCTTAGATATGCTGATGACACTTTTGTGATTTGGCCACACGGGAAAGAAAAACTGGACATCTTCCTCACAGATCTCAACAGCCTACCCCCCAAAATATAATTCACTATGGAAATAGAAGCAAACAACCAACCTCACTTTCTGGACGTCCTAATTTACAAAAAACCCAATGGCTCCCTAGGACACACCGGGAAAAAAACACACACGAACCGCTACTTAAACGCACAATCCCATCACCACCCTGCACAGATCAACTTTGTAGCCAAGACCCTCATCTCCAGAACCAAATGCCTACCTGACAAAGACCACCTGAAAACCAAATTACACACTCTCACAAACGTATTAATCTCCAACGGATTCCAAAGAAAAACAATTACCAACCTAATCCAAAGGGAGACTCCCCCAAAAAACCGAGAGACAGAACAGGACAATGGCATCACCATCCTCCCTTACATCAAAGGCACCACAGATAAAATCAGCAAAAGAAACACAATATCAAGACAGCCTTCAACCCTGACCAAAAATTAGCCAACGTCTTAAGAAACCCCAAAGACAAAATCCATCTAGAAAACCAAGGAGTCTACAAAATACCATGCAAAATCTGCCCTGCCACATACAGGAGAATAAATGCACGCATTGCAGAACACAAGAATGCAGTAAGAAAAAAAAAGAAAAAACTACCTCCCTTTTCCAGCACCTTAAAGCTATAGGACATGAAATTAATTTTGAAGGAACCAGGTTAATCTCCAAAACTGAACACTTCAACAAGAGAATAATTATGGAAGCTATCAAAATAGAGGAACACCCCCACAACATGAATAAATGTGGCCTCCTGCCTACCAGACATCTGGAAACCAGCCCTGGTAAACAAATGAGCCCCATCCACCACCCAGGCCATTACAACATAAAACAACAACGGACCCACAGCCAGCACCAATCAGCACCAATCTAATATGATCATGATACAGCCACACATCCATTCAATCCACTTTCTGAAACAAAGCCAGCACTCCACACACACACACCAAGATTTATACAAAGACGGCAGCTCTGGCCACTCTTTAAGCCAAAAACAGCAGCCTGAGGATGGCGAGTGAGACCTCGCCAAAACATTGCCAAGACAATCTCAATCTTACATGGGAAAAGACGCAAATATAATACACACACACACACACACACACACACGAAATAGTCTTGGACAGGAGCAGTGAGTGTGAGGAAGTTACTTCCCAATCTTCTAGTTTGCTGTAGCTTCCCAGTTTAGACAGCCTATTCAACCTGCAAAGGATAAGAGAGAAATGCTATTTTTCCACAACAGATCAGTATCATTCTAGAACTGTTAATGGATAAAACAAACTATACCAGAAGTAAATTCAAATCAAATTTCCAGCTTGATCATGAATACATTTCAGCCAAGGTTAAATTGATCAAAACCTGCATGACCTTTGCATGTAATAATGTACAGCATCTACAGCATTTGCTCTAAAAGCAAAAGGAAAAACATGAGGTAAAAACAGCGAAGTAGGAAATGAGCTCAATCAATTAAAGATTAAAAACTGCTTCAAAAATTGCTTCAAGAGTAAGGACTAATTAAATCAAGACCTGGTCGACAACTTCAAGGCTTTATCAAGTAAGGATAAATAATTAAATAATCCAACTGTAAAATCATGTAAGGTTTGGACAGGAGTTACAGGACCTAGGAGATCTTATGATCCAATCCTTTTCCCAATACAATAATCCACTATTATAGAGTTTCTGACAGCTATCCTCCATCAAATGATAGTCGAACATCTCCTAGAGAAGTCTGTTCCATTGTTGTACAGTTCTTGTTGTAAGGAGGCTTCTTTTTGTTGCTGTTCAACCAAAATCTGTTTCCTAGTAATTTCATCCTATTGTTTCTCATGCTGTCATTTCTAAATTTCTGAATAATTTTGTCCCGTCTTCTGCTTTTAATAATGCTTGAAGGTAGATATCATGTCTCACCTCAGTCTTTGCTTCTTTAAGCTTAATATACTTGGAACCACCTAATTTTTCTTGTATAATTTTTCCCTCCAGACCCTTATCACAACTGTCAGTTTGGAATATAAGTGTTATATTAGCAGTTTTATCTATTTCCAAGTGTTTACGGTATAGAATTAGGAGATAAATGATATATACTATGTTATTTACTTTTCAAAGTAATACAGCTTCTCATGATTGTTAATATTTGCATTAAGAAATCTTGGTTATGCTGATGAAAACCACAAATAGGCCATTTATATAAAAATTATATTAACTATATGCTAATTAAATATGAACATTCAAGAGCTGTCCTTAGTGCTGAATCAACCTATCCATTGACATAGCTTTCTTTTAACTAAATATTTTCTTGATAAGAAAACACCCTCAAAATATTGAGAGCAGAGGGGCATTTGCAAAAGAGAAGATATGGTCAAGGTGTCACAAAGAATTGCATTGTTGAGTAAACACTTAATGTACCTACTTGAATAATGGTATGCTGCCCAGAGTCATTTCTTGTGAGATGGAGAGCCATATTACATGGATGGATGGATGGATGGATGGATGGATGGATGGATGGATGGATGGATGGATGGATGGATGGAAGGAAGGAAAGATGACCTTGTCCCTCTATTTATTACTATAGTTATTAGAGTTTAGTTTAATAATTATAGTAACAGATAGAAGGGCAGGGCCCATATTAATAATGAAACATTTGCTTGAAGCTGCTTGCTAACAGATGGATTAACTAATATGTTCTGTTATAACCAGCATAACACAAAACTGTGCTCAGGCCATCATGGTTTCCATTTGTTGCCGCAAGAGCAATATGCTTTCTCAGTTAGTAATCACAATACTAGAAAAGTATAAATGATTCCCAAAGTATAATCTTCTCCATCTGTCATCCTTCATATACTGTATGATGTACTAGTATGTCAATCCACAACTATCATAACATTATTGATATATGATGATAATTGCATTCTAATAAATCACCATATTTGGAAAAATAGGGGGGTGGGGAGAAAAGCACAGCACTATACCCCTTTCTTTTCTTCTTCTATAATTCCTGGCAGTGAGGAAAAGACATGAGAAACAATTATAGTGAATGCAATGCTTTCATTCTTTTCTCACGGGTATGATGATAAAACTTTAACTAGGATTTTGGCTTCACTACTCACAGCCATTTCCTGTTGTACTCAACACATAATTTGCTCTGGATCTAAGAACTTTTGCTCTAATGGAGAAAGCTGATGGCTGCAAATTCATACTCCAACTACCATTCCCTGAAAAATGGTGCATTAGTCTTAAAGAGATTTTCCAGCCATTACGTAAAAAAAACTGCAGAGAAAAGAAAGAGGCGGGAGGTTCCAATGTAAATGCTGTATTCTCTTAATAAAATCATTCAGATAAATCTTAAGTTTAAAGTTAAGGATCTTAGTTAAATATCCTTTTTCCGATCTTCCAACCTTAGCCATCTCTCTGCTGCTATAGATTCTTATATGCTTTCATGTTCCTTATATTTTATCGCCAAAGTACTTTTGATCCCTCAAAGGAGCCCACTCGTTCTTTCTTGTTGCTTCTCAGAAAGAAATAGTTATCGACTTATGACTGTAATGGAGCCTGCCCAATATAGTCAGAAGTCATTTCAATTGTTAAGTGAGGAACCCGTGTGATCACCTCTCTCAATGACCACTGCCCCAGCCCTCTAAGGTTCAGTTGCTAAGTGACCATGTGGATCATTAAATGAATGGAGTGAAAGAACTGCCTCCTGCTGTGCCTGCCCTACCCTGCCCTCCTTCTTCAAAAATAGTTTGAAGAATTTTTTTCAGAGTATGTGGATGATATCTCGAAGCATATCTCTAGTCAGAGGTTGCTGTAATATCTGTTTGTTATCTGTTAGCCAAAGGGCTATGTCTGCTTTATTTCTCCTTGCAGAAGAAATAATTTGGTCAGCAGAGCTCAGATCTCTTGATCTCTGAGTGTCCATTCTTGCCTTCTCTTTCTAAGTGGCATGATCCTGGAAATTAAATACAATATTTGTATTCTCTTTGAAAAGTTTGTGGTGATGTTCTGTCCTTGCTTATCTGCATATGCTAAGGCTGAATTTTCATTGAGACCACCACGAAAGGCAGATAGGCAGGGATAATCTTTCAAACAGCCTTCCAAAAGATGGGGCTGATTTTACACTGTGAAGGTATGTGTTTTACTTGTGCTAACATCCTTCGTAAAGCATATCTTTTGAGTGCTTTTCACAGAAGCAGTTTTGTTAGATCTTTTTGTGGGATAATGTCCCTTTACCTTGATTGAAAAAGACTGCCTGTGGGTCTTTCTTTTTCAATGATTAATATACAACTCCACATATTCTACAATTTTTAATAGAGATTGTATCCAGTGATACAATCTATGAATATAGTTGTTATATACAATTCTACAATTTTAACAGAGATTGTATCTTCTACCCATGCCAGCAGTTGCCCTGTAGTGTGGCCATGTATCTTAATCTGCTTCATTATATATTCCTGGCTGTGTATAGTAATAAGTTAAAAATAGTCTTCTTAAAGTCAAGTTTGAATTCTGATGTCTTCACTGACATTTCCATGTAGTTTTCTTGGCAACAATGCAGAATTAGTTTTCTATTGCCTTCTTTCATTCCATGCAAACATATTTTCGAAGTGTTTATAGCATATATATAAATTCTGTTTCCTGTTTTAGATAGGTTGAAATCCTGTCTAGAACA